ATGAAGAAGCTGGATTACCTCAAACATACTTTCATTCACTCAATCTACATTTTAATTTCTTTCCTGATAAAATGTATTCATGTACTTCCAAACAGAGACTCATTTTTTTATACATTCTATGGAAAATGAAAGCATCCAAACTGGGCAAGAAACAAAAGTAATAGGACCTAGGAGGGCTACATTTGGTTGAATCTCAGTCTGTAGATCAAATACCCAAACATGTTCTATAATTCTTTAACATTTTAAAGTACCTTTATAACATCAAGTACAAAAGAAGTTCTTTGTCTTGTAAATATGGCAAAAGCAGTAGCCCTCGGACAACCATTAACATTTCTGCCTTTGGTGCTGGATTCAAAGGATTTGTAGCAAGATGACTTAGATGAAAACAAAATTCTTCTGTTTCTTAATATATTGCTTGATTGTATTTCTGAGGTTGAAGAGACAATACATCCACTGGCCTGCCTTCACTTCTACAGAAGTTTCAGACAAACCATCAGGTTTGTAGATGTCAACACCTTCAAATTTATATTTCAGTTAGAACCATGTGTCTTTCTTATTCTATACACATCTCAAAAAACATTACTCTGTGTGCTATCCTTCCTTATTACTAATATGTGTTGCTATCTCATTTGGTAACCTCCTGTTTCCCTTCATTCTTATTATCCATATATACTGTCTTAAGAGCAAAGATATTCTCCATACTCCTTATTCACTGTAGACCTTCTCTTCTCAAACTCTTCACTGTTCTCACCAATCAAATCACCAAGCAATAGGGCTCTGGGATTCAAATATAAAAGTCAGTCCTTGCCTTCAAGGAGGTTACAGTCTAAGTTTCCCAGTGTAGTCCATCCTCCACTGTGTTCTCTGGAAAGTGTAAAGAAACCTTCTCTAAATATTAAACATGTTCCACTTACCTATTTGATTTCCTCTCATGATATCAGTTCTTTCAAAATACTCTCATATGATGTTAGAGCCAAAAAGACCTTATAAACAGACTGATAATACCTTTTCTCACTATCCTATTTCCCCTCTCATGGGTCAGAATATTCCTGGATCCCAAATGCTGCTTCCAAAACACACAGCTAGGGATTCACAGTTCCAGTTACACCACTAACAAGATGTATGGACTTGGGAAGATCATTTAACTTTTCTGGACCTTACTTTTCTCATCTGTAAAATGGAAGAGGTTGGGACCTTATGATCATTAAAGTTCTATTCCATTTCTAATTCCATGGCTTATAACATCTTTCTAAAGTCCATGCCACCTGATCACACTGTTCTTCCCTCCTTTACCACTGACAACCCACTCCCCAAAGACACTCTCCCACCTTCATCAATGACTTTCAAAGGGATTATTTTCTTCTTTCTCTCATCTCTTATCTCCATCACTCAGTAAGTCATTAGCATAAATGCTGAACTCTCTAGTCTCATAGTTCTTCAACCTTCTCAACTCCAATGACCTCCATTCACACTCAACTACAGTGACCCAACCACAGTGCCACACTTTGCATCTAAATATCACTCAAAACTTTATCACTTCTAAGATCTAAACTCTCAAAATCCCACTTTTCTTTCATCCCCTTCTCTGAACAAGAAATGCTATTCTTCCTTTCTAAGCATTCCTTCTACTTGTGCTCTTGATTTTTTCCTCCTTTCTCCATTTTAGGACCTCTCTCCATTAATAAATCTCCTTGCTCTATTAACCTGCAACTTAATATTTGTTCCTTAATTTTTAAAAATTCTGAACTTAACCAATTAAAATGAGCATTTCTGTACATATAATAGAACAGAAAAAGAGGAATGTACACGAAACAGCCAACTTCTATTATATAGACCTGGCTTTTCTTTTTAATTACATAGTTGACTACAATAGGTAAATTACAAAGTTGTTGGTCTGTGATTTTAGCCTTCTTTGTTTTCTTCTCTGAGTTTTTAAACAAATGCTTCAATGATCCTGTTTTATTTCTTTTATTTATCTTTCTTTTTATTTTGGTTATATTATCCTCAATCTCTCTCCCTCAGCCCACCAACCCTCAATTGTAAAAAGAAAAAGAAAACATAAAACCTTGTAACAAATATACATAGTCAAGCAAAGTCCACACTGGCCATATACAAAAGTCCAAAAATTGTGTCTTATTCTGTATCTTGAATCAATCAGCTCTATTAAGAGGAGGGTAGTATGCTTTATTACTAATCCGCTGGAATCATAGTTGGTCAAAGCACTGAACAGAGTTCTTAGGTGTTGTAAAGTTGTCTGTTCTATGCTGTTGTGGTTATTTGGTCTATTATTGTCCTGGCTGATCTGCTCATATTGCTTTGTATCTGTTCATATAAAACTTTTAGGCTTTCCTGAAACCATTTATCCATTTGTTGTTTCTTATGGCACAATAATATTACATTACATTACTGTAGCATAATTTGTTCAGTCATTACTCAATTAATGGGAGTTTACAATTCTTTGTCACTACTGAAAAGACTGCTATAAATATTTCTGTATATATGGGTCCTTTCCCTTTTTCTTTGGATACTGTGTGACAGAGGCCTAGTAGTGGTATTACTGGTTTAAAGAGCATGCATATTTAGTGACTTTGGGGGCATAATTCCAAACTGTTTACCAGAATGATTAGACTGATTCAAAGCTCCAACATCAAGTACATTTATGTGCTTGTAATTTTGCAGCTTCTATAGTCTGCTGGATAAGGTTAGCTCTTTATATATCTTGGATATCAGACCTTTATCACAGAACTTGTCAGTATGATTTTTTTTTCAGTTAACTATTTCCCTTCTCATTTTAAGTGCAATGGTTTTTGTTTGATCAAAAGTTTTTTAACTGTATGCAATTAAAATTGTCTATTTTATCTTTTGTTTTAATTTCTTCAAAAAATTTATTGATTTTATTTTTTACATATTACCTTCATTTCCAAACATATGCTTCCCCTCCCCTCCTTAATCAGAGAGCCGTCCCTTATAATAAAAAATGCAAAAAGAAAGAGGTAGAAAAACTCAGTTTAGCAGAATTAACCAGCAATGTTCAACATGTATAAATCTCTGATTCTGCAAAAAAGGGAGAAAGATGCATCTTGAGGGTTCATCTTTCCCTCTCCTTTTTGGGGCAAGCTTCTTAATCACAGTTAAATAGCCTTCAGTTTCCATTCACAGCCAGGTCCCAATTAGTGAGAATAATTAATAATGAATTCCTGTGAAATTCAGATCCACACTTCACATTTCCACTGGGCTGGAACTAATGACCATATTTTACTTATATTATCACCTCAAATAGGGTAACCACTTCACTAGAGTCATTATTCGCACTAATCAGGACTTGGTATAAATTGCTGTGGCCACTGTATATATTGTTTTCTACATACTTTGCATCAATTCATAAATTTTTTTTATGCTACTTTTCTGAGGGAAAAAAAAGTTCCTTAAAAAATGGAAAACTCTTTTGTAAAGGTCACAAAGTCCAGAAACACACTGATTTCCTCTGTTTTACTGTAAAGTTGATTTTTTTTCTGCTTTCAAATTTTTGTCTGCTCATAAACTGGCAGAAACTGAAACATTTTAAGTTATGCAATTGTATGGATGGAAGAGACATTAGACTAAAAAACAAAAGTTTCTAAAAGCTGACTGAACAAATTACCTAGTAATCTACCATTTTGCACTTAATATTACAATCATGATAATTTTATGAGCAATTATACAGAATACACAGGCTACTAAATTTTAAGTTATTTAGTTGAAGAGCACTAAAGAAATCATATTTTGAATTTTCTATTTTTTTTCCTAAGTAAAATACTTCCTTTCCAATTAGTACTCCTACCTTTCCCCCTATGCCCTGAAAATTTTGGAAATTTTATTTGTATAGGAACTGCAGCTCTAGAAATTTTCTCTCTTTGTACAAGTACTCCTATGTCTTTCTATCTCTTTCATTAATTAGAACTAATTCCTGCACCAAAACCCATCTAAAATGTATAATTAAGTCGTATATCCACAAGTACAAAACAGCTATTCCTCCCCTCTCAAAGAAGTAGGTGGCAAAATAACAAAGTGCACACTATCCGTGGGGGTCAAATCAAGAATATAACAATCCCAATTTAGGGACTGAATGAGAGAGTAGAAGACTCACAGAAGGTTCCAGTGAAGTGAAAACAGGGGTTATGATTCCAGTAGGCCACGTCTGTGATAAAGTAAGATTTCTGAAAGATTAGCTCTTCCCTTACCCTCTTAGCAGGCTTATCAGCAGAAAAATGGCTGATATATCTCACATTCAGAAGTAACATGAGATTTTAAAAAGGTCTGGAATCACACAGATGCCTCATAAGTTTTGTTTTCCAGTATAAGACAGAAGTTGAAAGGTTTAACAAGAATCTGACTACAGGGATAGTCTGGAAAAGAAGGTATACTTGCATTGCATTATCTTGTAGAACAACTTGGGCACATTTTAAGGGGCATTTTGTTTTATCATAAAGTCATTAATCAAAAGTAAACTGAATGCTGTTAAAGTAAGGTTTTAAGTCTTGTCAGAGTACACTGATGATGACACAAAATGACACTGGTTGAGGGTAACACTATGCATATGCCCACAATAACAAACCCCAAATAATTAGACAGAATCTCAGAGTTGGAAGGGAGTTCAGATCTCTTCTAGTTCAACCTTTACCTGAACAAGAATTTCTTTTATGACGCTGACCAAAAATGGTTATCTAGTCTCTGCTAAAAATCAATAACAATGAAGAATTCATAATTCTCTGGGGGATTCTACTTCACTTTTAACAACTGCTAGAAATTTTCTTGCATCCAACTGAATTGTCTCTACAATTTCTGACAGCTCTAAGTTCTGCCTTATTCAGTTCCAAATTCTGCTCATAATATTTACAGTAACTCAATGCTGCTAATAGTTTTTTATATGCAAAGTATTTGGCTCATTACACTTAAATGACAAATTTCTTCCTCAATCTGATAAAATATAAAAGCTAGATTTGAAGACTTTTTTTTTTTACCTGTATTGGCATCCCCACTTTCCATAGATGGTTTACTCGTTTCTGACGGATTGTTCATTCTTGAGTCTGCATTAAAACAGAGATGAATGTAGTTAAAGGAAGGAAAGAAACAAGCATTTATTAAACACCTACTACATGCCAGGCACTGTGCTAAGTCCTTTTTACAAATATAACAAATAGATTACCTTACTAATCCTCACAATCCTGGAAGGTTGGTGCTGTTATTATCCCTATTTTACAGTTGAGGAAACTGAGGCAAACAGAAGTTAAGTGAAGTTATTGAAGGTTACATAGCTAGTAAGTGTTTAAGGCTGAATTTGAAATCAGATCTTCCTGACTCCAGGACCAGAGTACCATCTATATGCTCCCCACACAGGGTACCTCTCCACTCCTCCTTTTTAGCTTCCTTTTGTGTGTAAGCTCTTTGAGGGCAGGGGCCAGCTTTCCTTTTCTTATTTGCATCTCCAGCACTTAGCACAGTGCCTGGCACACAACAGACACTTAATAAACGTGTATTGTATTGTGTTGTGTTGTACAGAGAAAAAGTCGACTAAATACACAGTGATGTCAGAGATAAAAATAGGCCACTTATTTAATAGAGAAAAGAATTTATCATAAATAATAAAAAAAGAACTCCTGTGCTAGTACTCCTTTGATGTTTCACAAGTAAGAAATTGACATACTAAAACCAGGTTGGACAAAGGGGGCAAGAGAAATCTAATAAATAAAGTTGAATGTCTACTGGCAAGCTAGAGGAATGGCATGTAAGAAAAATACATTTTCTTTATGAATCATGAAACTTTATTAAAAGAAATAAACTTCTGGTGAAAACTGAGTACGTCATGAGTAAATGATGTTACCAATACAGAAAGAGCGCTCACCAGCAGAGAAGTACATCAGTTGGTCCCTCACAGCCCTCCCTCACTTAAATCCAATTTGCTTGCAAGCCATGGCATCACCTTCCTGATGTCATGGTCCTCTCCAAGAATGAAGGACAAACAGCAAAACAACGAGTACATCAGTAAATCTCTGAGTGAGATAGGACATTAACTTAACCTAATACAGAAAATTAAGGTCAGTATTCTAACTTTGGTAAAACGAAACATTATTGCAGAGTCAGAATGGATACTCATACACATTAATCTCAAAAGAAAGACAAAATAAAATGTAAAGCAACTGAAGTGTCTACCTCCAGTGACCATTTCAAATGATAACCTTTCCTTTTGTTTTCAAAAGAAGCGTCAAATTAAACAAGTCCCAGTACCTTCAGGGGAAAGATTTTTACTTGGTTGAGATCATTTCAACAATGAAAAATAGGTAAATATGGCTATATGTCTTGATCTGCAAGGATAACAAAATACTATTATATGTAGTCTTAATTGATTTTAGATAAACCCACTGATTTGGATATTTTTCTTTGTGTTTTTAAAAATTAATGTTGCTCCAGAAGATTTTTTTAAGAAGTAAAAGAGGGAATAGGACTATTGTAATGCAGTATGAGAATATTCTCCTACTCTTTATCTTTGAAAGTGTCATGAAGCAAATATATTTAAAAAGAATACTTTTTACTCTATATGTACTAGAAATTCAGCATACTCATTCTTAAACAAGTTGCTTTTAGTAGTTATCAATAGACAATGTTGTTGATTCTGGTTTTGTGAAAATAGAAACTTTAAGTCTTTTTAATTTATCTGCCAAAATATGCAACTAGGAAATTAAGTCCATCAATACTTAATGGGTGGCTAGTACCTATGAGGGGCTGTGACAGGTAATGAAATTTTAACTATGGCAGCAAAGCACAAGGAAACTGTCCTGGGATTTCAATCAGGGCACACCAGCTTGAATTCCCAGATCTGGGACTTAGAATTTGTATGATCTTAGGCAAGTTTCTTCACTTCTCTGGACATCAGTTTCCTCAACTGTAAAATAAGGGATTGAGAGTAAAGGCTCTCTGTAAGGTCCTTTCCAGATCTAATTCTAGGATTCTGATATATTTGCTCCCAGCTGCTGGGCCATCTAACCTTCATTCCCATTATCATGAAAGTTTTAACTCCAAGTTTAATGGATGGAAATTACAAAGATTTTTCAAAAATAAATTCCATTTCCAACTTTAAAAAAGTGCTTTCTGTGACACAGGTTATTATTTGTACATACAAACAAGTGCAAGAATTTTCAAAATTCAAAGGGCAAACTCTTGGCCAATTGGAAGGGATGGCCTTCCTTGGCCATTAAGACAAAATCTATTCAGAAAATGACCCTAAATGTTTTCTGAAAACATGAAGTGCTAGGACTGAAAGCAGCAGGTGCTTGAGCCTATGACTAAAATCTAGCTTTCTGTATGACTTAACTAAAGTTTTAAGAGACAATGTAGAAAAACATAAATGCAATAGGAAGTGTAAACAGTTACTACTCAATGTCATGTACAGAATAAACTAGGAAGAATAACTGGAAAGATGATGAACTAGCATTAAGACTAGAAAAGAGTTCAAACAAAAAAAGACTTCCCAAGTAGGAGTGGAATCATCTAGGCAACCAACAAGTCTGGATTAGGAAGCAGTAGTATCTAAATATTAATTGTAAAATATCTTCCTAGGTAACCTTAAACAAATGCTTTAATCTTCCATTTATGCCACAGATAGCCAATAGGGATCTTCTGAAAACATCCTATTATGTTTTCAAGAGTTTCACAATCATCACATCAAATCATTTCACTAGGATTTGGAAACCAAGAGGGAGGGAATGCAGGTAGGAAGGAAGTGTTGGGGAATTCTGATTAATTTATTTATCTGGCTTACTGAGAATCATACAGAAAACCCCTTTAGTTTCAACCTTTATTATTTCAAATTACTCTAAATTAAATTATTTTTAATTTCTGAGTAAATATAATACCTTCTTTGATGGTTAAGGATCTTATAGGTCCCCTGAGACACTGTTCTAAGCATAATTTTTCACTGTGTAAAGCTGAAAATAAAGAGTCAAAGAATTCAAAATGATATAGGGAAACTGGATTGAAGGTATACTGTGCCCAAGGCACACCCTAAAAGTTGCTGTTTTTAATAAATGTCTCATATGAAGTTGTTTCTTCTTAAATTCCTCTTCTTCCTCAGAGGAAAGGGATATTTCTAAGTAGGCTGAGTTCCTGATATTAGAGGGTCTATTTTATGCAATTTTATTACCATGTCAGGTTTATGAGGTGATCCTTTTCTAAAAGGACCAAAATGATTTTTTTCTAACCATCTTCACATTCCTTTGAGGATGAGACATAATTATAATGAGGAAACAGAGGAATAAAAAAGTTAAGGGACTTGCTATATACCTTATCACAACCAGGATCTCGTTCCTTCCAGCTTCTATCCCTAATAAATGCTTCTAGATTGACTGATTCTATAAATTTTAGGTCCTATGAGTCCATGATGCTAAAGCACCATATCCTTAAAATAGGTTTCCAGCACCTCAGTGATAGTTTTCTCTGTTAATAGGAAAATGACCATATATCTGAAAACCAAAGTGTCCTGATGATCCACTTTAAAATACTGGACACTGAAGAGGGTTCAAATGTGCAAAGCCAAAACCTCAAAAGGAATGTTTCAGCTTTCTGCTATATAAGTTGTATTTCGCAGACCCTAAAAATAAGACTTCAAAGGTCTGAGAAAATATCAATAATTTTCAAGAAATATGTATAATTATTTGATACAAAGGAAAGCAAATACAAATTGACAAAAAAGTACAAGCACAGCCTGCATTGTAGCGTCAGGGGAAACAACTATCTATTTTTTACTCTTACGCACATCATATTTGGAAAATGTTTATTATTGTCTACATAGGTCTTGGTGTATGCTTCTAAAAACCAAGAGATATGCTAAGTTAAGACTTAAGTTTCCATGGTAAGCCAGTTTCAGGAAAAAAAAATAACAAAGCAAAAATGTCACCCACAAATGTAAGATATTTGCTGAAAACGTCCTCTGAACCAAAAAAAAAAATCAGTAGCAGGGAGAGACTAGCTACAGATACATGTGAGCTTCAGCTTTGCAAAAGCTTTCCTTCCCCCTCCTTTAACTCTCCCCACCTCAAGTAGTTGCATATGCGATTAAGCATTTATGCATAAGTCACCCCCCCATTTCCATATTAAGCTTATAAAAAAAGAAGTGAGGGGGTACCCACCTAGAACATAGTCACTGCAGTCCAGCATTTCTCAGAAATCCTCTATAGGTTAGAAAGTCCAAAGGAAGGAAGAAAAAGCAAGGAGGTTGGGGAAAGGAATGGTTTCTCACAAATCTATACTATAGCTCTAAAACAGAATGAGAAAGGGATGAGGGTTAGGGGGTGGAAAGGGGACAGGGAGAAGCAAAATACAACTTCTTCAGTTACACCATAGCAATCTTCAACTGAATAAGGAAACTTCAGTTGCTCTGGGGAGTTTTAGGCTCTCCTACTAGCTAGGACTGACATTGTCAAGGCAACTGAAGCATGAAAAGTTCCCCTTTTTGTAATAAAATAGAAACAAAGATTGCAGCTGGCAGTTTCCATAATGAAGCTTAATCAGTATGCGCATGATTAGGGCCTTATGCAAATCTCCTCTCGTTAGCACAGCAGCCAGCACTTTGAAGTCCAGGAACAATTCATTTGCAGAGTACACTGAAAGCGCTCCCTGCATAATTTAAATCACCACATAAATATTTATCAGCTCATTTGCATATTAATTGGCAGTGCATGAAGGGAAAAATTATCTCCAGAGTGCCAGCATAATAATTAGGAGAACAAAATGAGATTTCTTCCAATGGCTTGGCTTTTCAGACCTACCTCAGCACAGTACCAAGGGGAGAAGGAGGGAGAAAAGACAGAATTCTGTTAAAATGCCACTGAAATGACACGTACAAATTAGAAACAACTCTACAGACTTAAGCACCTTTAATCTTATTCCTGCTGGCAACAATGACTTCAATAATAAAAGGGATTTGCCAAAAGCTTTCTACACAGTCCAAATAATCCCAAGGAAACAATTAGCAAGGTAGATGCAGAACCACGGGCTGTCTGGATGGTACTAGCCTATCTCTATGGAGTTTCCTAAATGTTAACATGAACTGTCAGGAGAGGGTCCCACTTAGAATCTGGAAAACATTAGGAACCTGGAAGCAGATCAGGTCCCGTAAAAATTGTCTACGAGCTCCTGGAAATTCTTTATCTGTTAATCTCTTCATGCTACCAGGTTAAGAGCAAGGGATTAATAAGAGAGTGCTATTATTCAGTATCTTTAAAAAAAAAAAAGCAATCCCCACTGATATGTAACTAGAGTAGAAAACAGTATGATAGTTAAAACCCTGGCAAACAGTCAAAAATCAGGAAATGCCAATTGCAGAGCTATCTAACATTTTCTGATCACCCTTATCCGAAGGACATGTATTTATATGAAAACACTTGACTAGGTCACACCAATGTTGAGTGAATTTAAAAGCCACAACTCCAAACCATAACTGTCAAGGCATCATCGAAGCAAAAGAGAGTCTTTAAATCTTTATCTATAACTCTGAGAGAAAAAAAAAGCTAATGATCTTTATGAAAACTGGTTTTGGCTATAATCAAAATATTTATCACCTGGCACCTCACTTTTTCTGTCACGAAGGAGAATTTTTATTACAACTAAAATAAAAAGATCTTTCTGAAAACAAAAATGCCTTTCATTTTTCATACTCCTTCCAGAGAGATGGGTTAATTCTTAAGAAAGGCAAAAGAATAATAACAAGATTTCATTTATGCAGCATTTTCAGGCTGACAAGAGTTTTGCATAGATTACCAGGTCACTTTCATTGTACACAGATTCAATTAAATGTAGGGACAAACAATTCATGGAAATGTACTCAAATAATAATAATAAAATATCATTTACTGTATGCCATTGAAATCAAGAATTTCAGCTAGATATGAGTGACTTTCACAAGCACACTTTATGTCACATTACCAATTAACAATAAGAAATGGTCAGCTGCATTCCTAAATTAGATGTCTATGCTCTTTCCATAAAATATCAATCTTTTACTCAAAATTATTTAATGAATCAACAAATGTTTATTGAGCACCTAAAACATATTCTGCTAGCCAGTATAGGTACGGAAGTAGTAAAACACAGGATCTCTTGTCCACAAGAACCTTACAGTCTGGCTAAGGAGGAAAAAGATATGAAATAGCAAATAAGATGGCATATAACTATAAAATAGTACGTTAGAGACTATAAATGTTATCTCTATTCAGAGAAGAAAGATCAAAAACTGGAGTAATAAATGACGTTTTTATAATACAAGGACAACTTCAGGTAGAATTTAAATTGGGGTGTGTGTGTGTGTGTGTGTGTGTGTGTGTGTGTGTGTGTGTGTGCGCACGCGCACACATATTCACCTGCCCATATATCTTTTTATCTTGCAGGGACTCTGGGAGTGAGAAGAAATAGAGTTGTAAATAGACATGGGAAGTAGGAATGAGCTTGGCCCCACCCTGAATATGGTAAATGTTTGTGAGGGAGAATGAAATAAGAGTGCAAGATTATTTGTTTGGGGGGATGGAAAGAGAGAGAAAATGACAAGAGCCTTACCAAGATTAAAATGTTTATTATGTTTCTCCTATACAATTATTGGTTTTATTTAATATTGATTTTTCAAGATTTCAAGTGCTTTAGAGATTTTTAATCTGGGTGGGTAATTTTATATTTAAGCTCAATATCCCCAAAAGAAAAAGTCAGTCAATAAACATTATTTAAGTGCCTACTATGGGCCATATACTCATTGTGTTAAGTACTGGGGACACAAAGAAAGGTAAATAGTGAGGAAAAGACAGAAGAACTTGTACAAGATTCCATATCAACGCTGTGGCAACAAAACTGAAGCCTCCTAATTTTTAAGTCCAGTGTTTCGTCTACATTAGTGATTTTTCTATGTCCTGAATAATATCAAGATTCCGTAAGAAATAAAAGGTTCCTTGGGGAAAGGAGACAGGCCTTTTGGCATGGCTTCCTAAATTTCTCAAATTACTAGGACATAATGAAGAGTGTCCTATTTGGTTAGGTGGGAATGAAAGGAAAGGAAAGTAGAACTACAACCAGAGAACTGTTTAAAAATAGTCTGAACAAAGTTGGAAGCCTAACTCATAAAAACAGCTTTTCATGTGATTTTAGTCTTCTTTTATTCGCACAGTTTCTCATAAGTAATTTTGGATCTTACACTTCTATTCTTAAAGGATTCTCCAGTACTTCAAGGAGATACTTTCTCCACAGAGGCAGACAGCAAATCATATTTAATTTTGCCTCTAAGAGGTGCAGAAGCTGATGGACTAACCTCATGAATGTTGTGTAAAGCCTCTCCAAAAAACTCAGGTTGGTGTACAAACTCAATAATGCATCACCAGGTCCATGCTTAGTCAATCTGGCTTACAAGGATTTATCAGAGTTTACATTTTTCTGAAGTTCATCTTCATACCCTAATGAGGCATCAGAGCAGGGAGCTCTAGTAGGATATGAGCACTTTTGTTAAGACAGTTTTCCACCATATTTAATTCACTTCAAAAACATTTATTAAGAACTTACTGGGTATAAAGACAAAAAGTCATTGCCCTCAAGGAGTTTCATTCTTTTTGGGTTGGAATAATATGGACACAGACCAATAGAAAATAATTTTGAGGACAGGTAAAGTACTAACAACTGGGGTTCTGGGAATGGCCTCATGGAAAAGGTAGCATGTGAGCAGAACTTGGAAAAGACTGATGGTTTCCAAGAAGCAGAGAAGGGGAGAGAAGCATTCCAGGAATGAAGGATTCCCTGTTCAATGTCATGCATGAGCAACAGAAAGGTCATTTTGGGTGGAAGGCAGAGTATGTAAGAGGAATTAATGTGAAATCAGTCTGGAAAGAAAAGCTGAAGTTAAGACTATGAAGGGAAATAGGAATTTCTTTTTACCCTAGAGGTGACAGGGAGACACTGAAGCTTCCTGAGCCATGGGGATGGCATGGTTAGACCTGTTTTAGAAATATCAATTGAGCAGCAGAACTGCAGGCAATTTAGAGAGGGAAGAGGCTAGAGGCAAGATTAAGAAATTTTTGCAATGATCCAAGGTCCTAAGGAGCCTTCCTTCTTCCTCAGGAAGCTGCCTTTGCTACCGTGTTCCAGTAGCCTTTTCAAGCTAAAAGTTCTTTCAGGCTCTGTAAGGCCCCTCTCCCTTTTTCAACTACCTTTTAGCGTGTGGTATTCTACCATCAAAACATAAGCTCTTCTAGGGCAGGGTCTGTCTTTCTTTTTTACTTCTCTTTTGTAACCTGAGCACTTAGCACAGTTTCTGGTACTTAGAGCGATTAATAAACGCACTTGGATTTGAACCAGGGTAGTGACTGTGTGAGTAAAGAGAAAGGGACAAGTGCAAGAGGTGCTGCGCAGGCAGAATACATTAGAATGGAGTGGGAAACCTGCAGCCTCATGTGGCCTGGAGGCCGAAGGTTTTCCCCACCCCTGGATTAGAACTTCCAATGATCAGATATAAGGAATGAGGGAGAATGAAGATTCATCATTGATGACTCTGTGCATCGACATGAACGAGGATGTCTATAAGTATGGTGATATCCTTGAGAGAAATGGGGAAATAAGGAAAAGGGAAGGGTTTCAAGGTAAAGATAATAAGTTCAATTTTGGACATGCTGAATTTGGGTTGCGAATTGACACAGTTAGGTATGGGTAGATCCATAAGGTAACTAGTGATGTGGAACTGGGTGTGGGCAAGTTAATTACCAAACTACAGAGGTTTTCCAACCAAAACAGACAGACCAAACTTAACCTTATTACCCATTTATTAACCATTATTTATTAACTATTAAAATGCCCATGCCAACTGTGACAAATTCTTTTTCAAATATTATTAAAAATAACAGTAACAGAAGCTATAATTCTATGCTTTAAATCACATATAAATACAAAACAAGTATTGATATCTCCCCACTTACAAATGGCCCATATACACACATCTGCTTCTACTCCACCTTCCCTCCACTTTCTCATTTCTGAAAAGAACCCTCCCTTTACACCCCTGATAAAAATGAAAGCTTATTAAAAATGTAAACTAGATATAGAAAACTTATTGAATGAGTGAGGGAGAGCTGAGCAAAAGCCATCAGCCTCGATCTTCCAGAGCCATCAGTTCACTGGTAAGACAAAGGTCAAGACAGTGGCCCAGGATGCAGTGCATCCTCTTTTTAAAATGCAAAACTCGGCCAGGGCTGTAGTATAGAGAACACCGTTTTTATAATTAGAAGACCAGAATTTGAACTGTGGCTCTGCCCTGAACAAATTTTCTAACTTCCATGGGCCTCCATG